AAGGGTATGAAGAGGTACTCTAGCTTTAATATTATTGCCTATTGAGCTATTAAAATACTAGTTTTTAACAAAGCTATAACACTACTGTATTTTTGACTTTTGTTTATTTTTGGAAATTGAGATCTGCATATAAAGTTCTAGTGATATTATATAGTAAATTAAAACTTTATATTTACTAAATAAATATAATAATAATGCTTTCACTTAAATTCTTTGCTATAATAATATTTTCACTTAAATTCTTTACCAAAAAAAAGGTATTACTATTTATATACTTTTAGTACTAGAAATTTGAAACAATCTTTGTTCTTAGTTTTATAAAAATCAATAATGTAAAATTTAAAATTGTATTCATTATTAGTTGATATTAAATAAAGCTCAAATAAAAGTATACGAATTTTTTTTTTAAATTTTTTTCAAAAATGATTACACCTAAAGATCATATTAAAGAAAATGAAGAGTACGAAAAAAACTTTTACATTGATAGTAAAAGTTTATTTTGTACTTTTTGTAAATGTATCGTAAATCATAAAAACAAATTTTTACTTGATCAACATTTTAAAACTGATAAATATAGAACAAACGAATATAAAACTAAAAACTTGCAAAAAACTAGTAAAATGGTTTCTAATATTAATACTTGTCAAGAAAAAAATGAAACAATTAATATAGACTTAATTTATACTTTAACTCAAGCTAATATTCTACTTGAGAAAGTCGATAAGCTTAAACTGTTTTTTTTCAAAGTATTGTAAAAATGGTATGTATATAAATTATATTAAAAAATAAATTAAATATTAATTAATTATTATATATATATATAATAGATGATGCAATCATTAAATCTACATAATTGCATAGTAAATATTTGTCAATCATATTTGATTCAGAAATTGAAGATTTAAAAAAACTTTTAGTAGGACAAAAAATTTCTATAACAGTTGATGAATCATCTGATGTTTGCGGAAGAGCAGCAGTTAATATATTATTTAGTTTTTGTAATAAAACTAAACTTGTAAAAACTGAGCATTTAACTGTTGTTAATAATATAACTATAGCACAATTTGTGCTAAAAACTCTTCAATTCTATAATATTTCATTAGAAAATATTCTTCTTTTTATATCTGATAATGCTTTTTATATGATAAAAGTATTTAGCATTCTATCTCCTCTAATATGTTAAATGAAACATAATCGTTGTCTAGCACATATATTAAATTTAGTTAGTGAAACATGAGTTGATCATAAAAAATTTAAAATATTAGATGAAGTAGTTATACAAATTAAAGCATCATTTACGCATAACAATGCATGTAAAAAAAGATAGTTTCCTTTCTTAATTCACAAAATTCTGATTTACCATTAACGTTATCTCTATTTCCTGTTAAAACATGATAAAATTCTTGGTTTAATTTTATCTTTTAGATCGACAAATATGTTCTTCAATTAAATAGTTTTTATTTAAATAAGAAGCTTATTAGTAATGAGAGCAAAATGAGCAAAAAACTAGTATCTGTTTTTAAAAACCTATTACTTATATTTGAATTTGAAATTTTGGCTACATTTATCATATTTAATGTGCAAAGGTAAGATTTAATTAAATAATATAAAATTTAAATATAAAATAATTAATATATTAATCGATATATTTATTTTATAATATTTTAGTCTTTTTAATACATTAGAATTTTTTAAAATCTGTAACAAACCTGTAGCACCCTTTGTATCAAATTGTTTGATACAACTTGAAGTACAACTATGATCTAGTATTGTAAATCCACCTTTAAGTGATAAAATACTAATTAAATTTAGCATATCTCATGTAGATTCTTCACTATACATAACTAGTTTTCAGAAAGCATACCAGTTAGCTCTAAATAAATTTAAAAAACATATTGACTAACACCCTGCTTTGTCTTTATTCAAGGCAATTCAATGTTTTGATCCCTAGTATCTTCATTCACAACAAAGTAGGCAAGATATTAATTTATATAAATGTATTGCCAAATTTAAAAATCCAAATGATATAATCATACATGAGTGGAGAATTTACTGTAAAATAAAAGAAAATTTTAGCTACAATAATGATTTTGATTTGGATACTTATTAGAAAGAAAAGGCTAGACATCTTCTTAATTTGTTACAAATAGCTTTAATTTATATTTGGCTCCCTGTTTCAGGAGTTGATGTTAAGCGAAGCTTTTCTGTATATAAAAATATTCTTACAGATAGAAGACAAGCTCTTTCAGAAAACTCAATTGGTATTTTAAATTTTATGTATTTTAATAAAGCTGAATAAATAAAATTTTTAACTATAGTTTAAATCTACAAAACTACAAAATTTAGCATAATAAATGTAACATTCAACGTCTCCAGGTAATCGCTATCTTGAGTTTATAAAAAAAAATCACAAAACTTTAAAGTCGTCAATTTGGAAGACTAGCACTAATTTGCTTTCTTCACTAGCTAATAGAAATAAGCAGGAATATTATGCAAATTGAATATCAAAACTTTCAAGTAAATTGAATGAATTTTTTGTTTTATGTTAAAAAATTAACTTACGTTCAAATTCTAATTTTCTTATGAATTGCGATCAACTTTCTTT